ACCCGGGACCTTTGAATGAGAGGCCAACACCTTAACCTCTAGACCACGAGAGCCCCCTGACTGTGTCTGTAAGGCTGGATGGATCCGATGAATGGATGAATGTGTGGATAGCTGGTGTGGATACATAGATGAAGGTATCTGATGGAAAACAGAAGATGAATAAATGTGTGTGTGTGTGTGTGTGTGTGTGTGTGTGTGTGTGTGTGTGTGTGTCTATTATTACAGCTTTCTCGGTAATTTTCTACCTAAATTACTGACACACTTCGCTTTTCGAGTAAATGTACATGCATATGGTTTTATCCCGCCCTCCTCCCTTTTCTGAAAAAAAAAAAATCGGCATAATTTGAATAAGTTAGGAAGCGGGCTTCAACCCTGCTTGTCAGGGCCAACCCGGCATGCTGAGAGGGATGCAACGCCTGAACAGAAAGATCGAACATACAGGATGAAAAAAAAACTCTCCCCGTGTGGGAATCGAGCTTAGGTCTTCTGCATGCGACAGCGAAACGCCCAAGCTTCACGTTGTCAGGAGTCTTAACAATCGAGTATACTTTTTAAAATTATTTACGGAGATTAACTCATAACTGTCTAAATTGCCAGATGGTTCCGTCTGGATAAGTGATGTGAGGCCGTGGGTGGTTGGCGTGTGCTCTTGTGTGGTTTGCTTCTTTCCTATCAAACATCTATCGCCCTTTTCTCCCTTCCTTCTTTTTTTGTGTTTGTTACTCTCTTGTAACACCTCTCTAATCTTCGGCACTTTTTTTACCTTATGTTGTTGCAAGTGCCGTAAAACTCTTACTAAAAGTAGAAGTGAGGCCCAAAATGAAAGGTGTGTTACTGTTTTTAAAGTTTGCGCGGATTGCTGTCGACAGCAGAGATTTGTAGACTGCCTCCCGCATGTCCAGCACTTAAACACTTCTTAACCTTATCCGTACGCCCTGGGGTCATTTTGTACCCCCTGGGTTGTATTCTTCAAATTTTAGAATACATACTACTGGTCCGAATATCTTTTTGAAACGTTCAGTATTTCTCAAAAAATCATTTTGACGGACTGCTATGCAAAGCGAACGGATCGGATTAACGAGTAAATTTCCTCTTTGGAAATTAATGGTGGCACAGAGTTCCCCACGTCGTATGGATACGATAGTAAAACACGACGTACGGATAGGGTGAAAAAAAAGTAAGAGACAAACCCACTGCTCTTTTCTTTTCCCTGGACCTGGGAGGGATTTCTATTCTTGTCGGGGCCGGCTTTTGTCGCCTGGACAAGGACGTGGGTGCCCGGCCTGATTCATGGCCCAATATTTTAGCGATATTGTGAGAGTGGTGTCTGGCTGCGCCGCCCCTGTTCATTAAACGGTGTGGCAGGGAGGTGTGGGGGGAGGAGGGG